GGTTGGGCTGTAAACTCCTGAAGCATAGCTGCCACAGCAGCCCGAGGCAACAGACTTTCCAAAGCTTGCCCATCTTTACCCATAGGCTCCTTAGTAGTTCCTTTTTGGGATTACCTTATAGGATTCTAACTATGAACCATAAAAAGGAACTACTTAGGAGCCTATGGGCAAGCCTGAGCCACAGACCGAAAGGCTTCAAAGCGTCTTTGGCAGATGTAGGTAGCGCGGCAGAGCATGATTCTCACCGACATCGAGCGTTCATCCTAGAAAGAAGACTCTCACGGCCAACGTCTAAAATGCGTGGGCTATTCGGGATTCCGAGTAGGGTCATTATAGCTGCCTGAGAAGCCATGTAGAAAACCTGACAACCCCCATTCTGAGCCCCTCCATCTATTCAGGCTTTCATCTGCGATGCGCAGGACAAGTGTGCCATGCGCCGCTACACGTCAAAAGGCCGGGATTAGGTTTATTTCGGGCTTGCGACCCAGGGTGCGGGAACTGTAGGGACTGAGGATGCTGGGGCAGGGACTTAGGTGCTTTTTCGGGGTCCAGGGCTAAGACTTATGGAGATCTAGGCTTGAGAACTGAGGCCTAAGGTCGTGCTCGCTGTGCTGGGTGTCATGATGAAGTGTGCAATTGCAACAGCTCCTTGCTGGGGCAGGGGTGGGGAGTTCGGTGCGTGGGCGTGGTGATTGCAGTATGATTGTTATTTGAGTATTTTCTTGTGTGGATGGTGTTATGCTATCGTGTAAACGTAGGACATGATTTAGGTGGTAGGTGAGTGCACGGGCGCACACAAACAACCGACCGCACAAACACAAGCGAGCAATCAAGCAGCAACAACAACAACAACGACGAGCCAGCCAACAAACCAACGAACGAGCAACATAAGACCCACGCCAGCAAGTAAGCAAGCAAGCGAGCACGAAGGCAGGCAGACAAAATGATATCGCCAGGCTGCCTAAGTCGATGGTGCTTCTTGTTTGCTACTGCTGTGTAACTGGTTTTCTTGAAGATCATGTACTGGGCACAAAACGCGTAGATACTGAACCAGCCTTCCGACACGGAGACACGGGGCATGCCGAATGTGAACTGTGAATGCATGTCCTTTGCATGCAAAGAGAGGCCACTTAGCACGTTCGGTTCAGCACTTGGTAGCCTAGAGCAGTCGCCATGGGAAACCTGTGTGACTGTTGTGGAATCAGAGACAAGGGGCCGACGGGCTTGCCACCGTACGGTAGTGGTGGCAATGCAGAGCATGGATATGCAGTGGCCATCAATGACAGAGCAACCATGGAGGATGCCATAGCAATCCAGGAGAACGTCGGGGGGTTTACGTGCCTTGCCGTCTTCGACGGGCACGGAGGGGACAAGGCAGCCACACTGGCTCAGTCGCACTTACCAAAGCAGCTGAACCAGCATCTTCAGAAGACCACCGACAAGGAACAGGCCGCCATTGATGCCTTCCATGCAGTCGATGAGCTCATGCACGAGGAATTGGCCGGCGAGGCCAGTATGTTGCCTTCCGGCACATCATCTGGAACCGTCGCATGCGCAGCACTTTTCCGAGACAAGGAGGTTATCTTGGTGAATTTGGGAGACTGCCGTGCGGTGGTCTGTGAGTCCTCGAAGGTGGCCACGACAACGAAGGACCATTCTCCAGACAAAAACAAGATGGAAAAGCAGCGGCTGAACGACAGTGGTGTGTCTGTCGAATGTGGCTACGTGGAGGGCAAGGTGCAGGTCTCCCGGGCCTTCGGTGACATCGTGGCCAAAACCGGACACAAGATCCGTGGGCTGATGTGCACGCCGGAAGTGACCATCATCGAAGTTAAGGAGACCACGGAGTTCCTGATCCTGGCCACAGATGGGATCTGGGACGGCATTCAAGATCAGACGGCGACCACCACGGCCAGGAAGGTGCTTCGCGAGACACGGTCTCCGGAAGCGGCAGCAAAGGCAGTCGTCGAAGCTGCCGGTAAGGTCACTAAGGCAGACAACGCTGCGGTGATTGTCTTAGCGCTCAACGTCCCAGAGCCGCCCCCTAAAAGGGACCCGGCCCAGAGCCGCTTCCGGCGGAGCTCCAAGACGGAGTGAAGCTATTGATTCATTTTGCAAGTGCATGTCCTGGATGCCTCGCCGTTTTATTCCGGCTGTTCCAGGAGGCTCCACTCGGTTACATTTGAAGCAATTTGAAGAAAAGAGCTGCTTCCTCCTCCACCTATGACCCTCCGCGGACTCAGATGCGGGTTTGACATAAGCAATCTTTATGCTGCATGGTGCGCGTTTGTCGGCACCTCCAACACCACGACACCCGCATGGTCGATGCAACTTAGACTCAAACTGCAAACAATGAGCTGTTCGCCCTCTTTATGCAAACGTTGACCTACTGAAATGAACGCTAGCCGATTCCTCGTTGCTTTGGCATTGCCGTGGTGCCCCGCAAGCCATTCCTTAGTGGCTTCGCCGTGATACGGTTGATGATCAAAATCCTGCATTACCCCATAATAAGGAATATACCATAATTCCCATAGTTTAGGGTCCTTAGGGTAATGCAGGATTTTGATCATCAACAGTATCTCTGGAGAGGGTGACTTCAAAACTTGGGAACCTGGGGCCTGCAATCCAATCGAGCTCCATCGTCGCACTTGCCTGCATTGAGCTTTACGAGTTCCTGGGCTCGGGGTCTAAAGGCTGTTGAAAGGTTTGGGGTTTCAGGGAAAGATCTTGATATTGACGGATAGTCAGAAGATGCCGAGCTTCTTCACACGACGCCGCTACACTACTAGCATAGCATAGTATCCTCTTCTGCCAGCGCGCTGAAGGCGCTGAACAGGATGAAGTGCCGGAAGGACAATCTGGAAATATCAGGATGATGATGGATGCCGACAGTTGGTGATAAGAGCATGCAAGTTCAAGACCCATAGCTGCAAGTATGCCAAATGAATTGTGTCAACCATCATGGTGATCATGTCGCCATTGCCAGTGCCATTCTTATATTTTTATCAATCTGGACAGTGTGCCGCAGACCCCTGATCCAAGAAGCCACATGTAGCCTGTGCTTCGCGTCCGTCTTTTCTTGTCGGCACAGCGTCGAAGCAGCCTTTCTGCAGGCCCGGTGGAGTGTATGGCCCGCTACCACAAGGGCGTGGTGTTCCTACGCCCTGTGTGGCACTGGCGAAGTTAGCTCAGAGAGGGCATGGGGACGCCTGGACTAATAGCGCTTTGACGGCTGTTGGGCTTTGGAGAGTCTGTGGGAGTTGAGGGTTGCAGGCTTTGGGGTTTGAGAATTTCAGGAGTTGGGCATTGTCCGTTCTTCCATTTCGACAACCGCCTTCTGTTTTGGCTCTCTCTCTTTCTTTGCCTCCTGGTGGCCGAGTCAAGACAAATACAACGGGACGGCCTGGTTCAACCGGGCCTTCACGATTGACGGCAAAAAATGAAGCGAAGCGAACTATAGTAATGCTGGAGCAAAGCATTGCCGTGCTACGCCACCCGGACACTTGTAGTGCAGGGTTGGTCTGCCATGCAACGGGCACAGCGGATGTCAGGCGATGCAGGTGAACGAAAGTCTGTCATTTACGGATGTAGATGTCGGTGCCGGAGTCAGCGCCGTGCTGATGGACAGGCTCGTGCTGATGGTCATGCTATGCAAGCAGCGTCATGCACGGTGATGTGAGGGTGGGAGCATCGCTGCCAGGAATGTGGCCGAGTGTGCCCAGCCCCAAGAGCAAGAGGCTCTTGGGTGGTTTTTGTGGGCTTGTGCAAATATACTTAGTAGTAACTATATAGGTTTCTACAAGGCTTACTATAAAGGGAACTATAGTAGGCCTGGTGTCTCCTTGCCTGCCCTTGTGTAAGTATACTTAGAAGTAACTATATAGGTTTCTACAGGGCTTACCATAAGGGGAACTATTTATACTCGAACCTAGCCTGCCCAAACCCTGAATCCTAAACCCTAAACCCTAAATCCTAAATCCTAAACCCTAAACCCTGAATCCTGAACCTTCTGAGAGCTACACGGGGCTCCTGACCCACAGGAGCTCGAGGAGCTCATGTCCTCTCCAGCTGTGGAGGCGCTCCGGGAGGCCTGGGCCTTGGGTTGGAAGGGTTTTAGGGTTTAGGGTTTAGGGTTTTTTTAAGTGTTCCGGTACCCTAAGTCCCCTCAAACCCCTTAACCCTTAAGGCCTCAAGCCCAGGACCGCTTAAAGCCTTAAGCCAGGACCCTTAAACCCCAACCCCTGAACCAAGTTCACGGAGAGGGTGTTAGCCGAGCATTTGGCGTCAGAATCTCGGGTCGCTTTCAGGGGTTTCGGAGCTTTGGGGCTTGAGGTTCGTTAGGGTTTAGGGTTTAGGGTTGCCCTAAACCCTAGACCCTGAACCTGAACCATCCTAAACCGTTTCCTTGCTTACTGGCAGGGGCTGTGCTACCAGTAGAGTCAATTGTTTTTTTTGGGTTTCAGGTGGCGTTCTAGAGGGTCCTCTCAGGTCCTACAGGGCTTTCTGATGGGCTTCAATAGTCAGAATATCGTTCGTGCTTGCGCTGTACGTATGCTCGGGATGCTACGTTACACTCACTAAACATTGTTGCAAGCTCCCGCATTCGGCCACGTGGCTTTTGCTGCCTTAGGGCCTCGCACGGCTGTTTGCATCCGACCCACCACCGCTACTTTTGTTATTATTACTACTGCTACTACGACGACGACTACTACTTTTGAAAATTAACGCTCGTAGTCACACTCGTAATAACCATAGCAAGAACACTGTAACCGTAATCATATCACAACAACAATAAGCACAACAACAGATAGTAGTGCTAACAATAATAAGAATAATTAATAATCAATACTAACAATAAATAATATTAAAAATCATCAATAAAAATAATGAAATAACAGTAATAATGATGTTGATGACAATAATAATAATAGTCATTCTAATAATAATAACAATAATAATAACAATAATAATAATAGTAGTAGCCATGATCATAATCATTAATAGTCATAAGCCTGAGGCGCGTGCCAGCCAAGCCCGAGCCGAGGCTGCGCTCAAGGCTCGAGGATGCTAAGCCCTAAAACCCCTACACCCAGCAGTAGCAGTAATAGTCGTCGTCG